TGTTAACTCACACAAAATCTAAACCTAAATCTAATGTCATAAATTCTTTCTTATCTGACATTTCTTCATTAGTTTTTTTATTTTATTTTCCTTTTATCCACATTTTTACTTAACCCTTGTCTTCTGGTAACTCACACAAAATCTAAACCTAAATCTAATGTCATAAATTCTTTCTTATCTGACATTTCTTCATTAGTTTTTTTTTTTATTTTCCTTTTATCCACATTTTTACTTAACCCTTGTCTTCTGGTAACTCACACAAAATCTAATCCCTTTCGTTTAATGATCTCGTTACTTCTGTTTTTGATATTGATTTGTTTGATATTTTCATTACTTTCCATAATTGTTTAGTTCCTTACTGATATAGAACTCTCTCTCTTTCTTTTAAAAGACTATTGTTAAAAATTTACGAATTTACTCGTTGAAGATTTTAGACGTAGGATTGAAAAATAAATCGGTAAAAGAAAAGAATATTAAAGATGTATATTGAAAGATTTAGTTTTCACATAAATAGAATTAATAAAAAGTACATAATATACATGAAAATTACTTGAACTAGAACATGAATGTACATTATTAAAAACTATGGATCAAGATTTTCTCATTTATCGGGTTTGTTTTTCTGAAGTTTTTTTTTTATGGCTACAGTATTTCATACAGTCTAGTTACTAATCAAAATATTTGTCTATAAGCATTCCTTCAGAAATGTTGTTATTGAAGGAAGTTGAATTATTAGAATGTACTTTGGATTGTAGTTGAGCACATATATACATTGTTGTAATGTGTTTATATAAGCACGTATGTACATTGTTGCAATGTGTTTATATAAACACGTATGTACATTGTTGCAATGTGTTTATATAAGCACGTATGTACATTGTTGTAATGTGTTTATATAAGCACGTATGTACATTGTTGTAATGTGTTTATATAAGCACATACGTACGTTGTTGTAATGTGTTTATATAAGCACATACGTACGTTGTTGTAATGTGTTTATATAAGCACGTACGTACGTTGTTGTAATGAATTTACATGAGCACGTACGTACGTTGTTGTAATGTGTTTACATGAGCACGTACGTACTTGCAATATTTGATTCAAAAATGTAACTCGTTAAATATGTTGATATGTGTTTCAACTTTTAAACAGAGAAAGACAATTTATAGAAATTTGTAAAGATGATGAAGTTATTAATATTTCTGTACTTTTAATTTGTTTAATATATTACTTAGCATAAGTAGCAGTGGGGACGAACGTAGCCGACCAACAAGTTTTTGCACACCAAGTTCCTGGGCTGATGAAGAGATCAACTATAGTGTAGGTATTGATAATGAAATTAGTGTTTTTTACTGTTATTTGTATCATCTCTACTAAACAGTGACTTGTGCCTATTTTATTTGTTATTATACTTTTATTTTGGAATAACTAGAATAAACTAGGACTGAGAGTGAAGCTAGCCAACAAACACTTGTCTTTATTAAAACAAGTAATCATAGCTGGGACTAAGAGTGAAACTAGCCAACAAACACTTGTCTTTATTAAAACAAGTAATGATAGCTGGGACTAAGAGTGAAGCTAGCCAACAAACACTTGTCTATATTAAAACAAGTAATGATAGCTGGGACTAACAGTGAAGCTAGCCAACAAACACTTTATTAAAACAAGTAATGATAGCTGAGACTAAGAGTGAAGCTAGCCAACAAACACTTGTCTTTATTAAATCAAGTAATGATAGCTGGGACTAAGAGTGAAACTAGCCAACAAACACTTGTCTATATTAAAACAAGTAATGATAGCTGGGACTAACAGTGAAGCTAGCCAACAAACACTTGACTTTATTAAAACAAGTAATGATAGCTGAGACTAAGAGTGAAGCTAGCGAACAAACACTTGTCTTTATTAAATCAAGTAATGATAGCTAGGACTAACAGTGAAGCTAGCCAACAAACACTTGTCTTTATTAAAACAAGTAATGATAGCTGGGACTAAGAGTGAAGCTAGCGAACAAACACTTGTCTTTATTAAATCAAGTAATGATAGCTAGGACTAACAGTGAAGCTAGCCAACAAACATAAGAGCAAGTTGTAATGTGATCAAGTGATTGATTCATGTAGTTTGCTTCTTTAATTGTGTGGTATTCCAATAGACACTACTTAAAACTAGTATTTTCATCTATTTACTTATAATAGAATGTCCTACAACTGGTAGTATAGCCACTTAAACCTTAGAAGTTAAAAGGTGTAAAGCTCAATAACAGCATTTTATCGTATCATTTCATGAACTTTGTGTTAATGAAGACTTGTTGTTTCCCGGTAGGTCAAGAGTAAATCTACAGACTTACAATGCTAACGTCTAGGGTTTAACTCTGTGCAGTGGACAAAGTGCAGATAGCTTACTACGTTTGTAGCTTTGTGCAAAAAAAAAGATAAAATGAAAATTTATTTTGAAAACATTTGTAAGGTAAATAATAATCTGAACAAGTATTCTTTTGTAAAATACAAATAATAATAATATCAAAATAGTCCACAAAATAGAACATTTCACTGAAAACAAAGCTTTTCTGTGTTCTTTGTCTCAAAAATTCTGGGTTAGATTCCCCACGGTAGACACAATAGATAGCCCAATGTGGCTTTGTCCTAAAACAAACAACAAATCCGTGTTCTTTAAATGAATGAATGAATGGAAAATTTCATATGATCTCTTTTGTAACAACTATGTTAACTTTCATCTTTAAAAAGGCTTAGATATATAATCGATTTTTGTGAACGTTGTATAAGGTTGCTTTTATCTTTTCAACAAATCTAATTATTGTTAACTCTTGTATTATTAGAAATAACAATATTTTATATTTTATAGTTTTCACTTACTAAAATAAATAACTTAGTAAAGAAGACTCTGTAGTTTCTCTATTTTAGCATTTAAAATTGTTGTAGCTTAGGTTTTTAATGTGGGTTTTCTTGGGGTTTATTGTGGAATATTCACTAATTCACTTCTTAGATTTTATAGTAATAAGAAACTACACTTAATAAACGTAATTTTTAAAATTATTCACTTTTGAAATAAGGTGTTTTAAACATAGGAATCTCTTTAAAACAATATTAGGTTGTGGTTAGAACTTGTTAAACGTTTTGTTTTACACTCACCTATTTGTCCTTTAATTTCAATAGCATGTTTCATGTTTCAATTCATCTTTCCAGATAGCTAAAACATTTATTTTGTTATAACCGTTTGGTTTAGTAGATTTAATGTGAAGTATATTACTTTTTTATTAGGTAACAAAAAGTCATCAGGAAAAACAAAGTTTAAGAAAACATAAAACTAGTTAGTTGGTACAGAAAGGTTGTCAAGATTGGTATATAAATTACTCAGATTCTTCAGAGTACACTCACAAAAAACTTTTATTAGGTCATTTGTCTTTCCATCAATCTAGGTTGTGTATAGAGGGCTAGTAGGTACTTGTTAGGTCCACATGTGAGTTTTATTTCTTACTGTGAACTTCATATGCTTTGTTAGACTAGGGGACACATATTTTGGCAGGGAAGAAGTCATCTTTAGCTAAGAAAGCTTTATCTTTTTAGCATTGTAGTTGACCTCTGGAACAGATGTTGAATTGAGAGAGTTTAAGGAAAAGCTTGATACATATTTGAATGATAAGGGCTGACATTGAGTTTTTTTTTAAGGGTTTAAGTTAGTGGATAGGACATTCTAGATGGAGAAAAAGTCCTTTGTTGTCCTTTAATGTTATGTATTATGTTTAAAATTTGTTTGAGACATAGTATCCATTTCTTAGCTCAGACTTTGGATTATTTTAGTAAGGTAAACAAAACAGTTAATTTTTTTGATTTTTCTTGGTAGGCTCAACAACAAGTATCTGCAAATTACTGTAAAAATGACAAACTTTTAAATGGTTCGTGTGGTGTGGAATATAGGAAGAGATCAAAACTCAAATCTCAGCGTCCTCTAACACGCTACCTTCCTGTACGCGGATCACAGCTGGACTTACGTTATCATATTGAGACAGCCGGTCATCAGATTGAGCTGTGCCCTTTCATCCAAGTGACCGCTACAGCCTGTCGAGGCTACCTGCACAAACTGGGGGGAGCATTGCATATTTGGAGGAGAAGATGGTTTGTGTTTGACCGAAAAAAGCATGCTTTGATTTATTATAATGACAAAAGTGAAACCAAAGTAAAAGGTGGAGTTTATTTTCAGGTGTGTTTCTTTATTCTAAATGTTGCTGTTTTTGGTGTATTTCTTTATTCTAAATGTTGCTGTTTTTGGTGTGTTTCTTTATTCTAAATGTTGCTGTTTTTGGTGTGTTTTTTATTCTAAATGTTGCTGTTTTTGGTGTGTTTCTTTATTCTAAATGTTGCTGTTTTTGGTGTGTTTCTTTATTCTAAATGTTGCTGTTTTTTGAAAGTAACTTCGAAACAAATTAGCAGTTTCGTGTTTTTTGGTAATTTTCATCAAGAAATGTTCGGCATACAGTTCTTATAAAATAAAATTCAAACCAATAAAGATCGTATCAAGTTAAACATACTTTTATGGAAGGCTTCAGCTTGATAAATACTTTTAAAACAACATTATACTTGAAAGCTGTTGCATAAAAAGTTGGTAAATCATTATTAAGTTTGATATGAACTGTTCCTGTTAAAGTACTACACAGAGTCACATATGTTGTCTCCATAATTAGACAGAAGCAGTTCATATTGAAACTATTGAATAGCTTGATATGGACTGATTCTAATGAACTCAGTACAGAATCAGAAATGTTATCTCCGAAACTAGACAGAAGCAGTTCATATTGAAACTATTGAATAGCTTGATATGAGTTTAGTGAAAAACTCTGAACACAGCCTGAAACTTTGTAATTAATCCCTTTCGAGGCCTATCCACTTGCAAGAGGAATAAACATAATACTGTACTGTAGAACAGAAATATTTCGTTGCATGTAAACCTTATGAATGAGTTGTCGTAAAGGAAAATTTGAAGAGGTTGGATTATAGAGAGAGAGAGAGAGAGATGGAATTGGACAGTTAAACCTTCTTAAATCATCTGAAAATTACTTAGTTAGCAATGTATTAATTTTGTTTAACCCATTTAGTCCTGTTTGAGTCTTTGAAAGAGAGAAATTTATGTGTGTATACCTTCTGCTATAAGATAAGTAAACACCAGAGTTGCAACTAGCTAAATGTAAATTTTTGTTTGAGTAAACCAATTTGTTCGTACCTCATTTAAGGCAATATTGTCATCAAGGTGACAGCTAAATCTTTCAGAATGTTACCAACCATAACTCCGTTTCAAGATTAAAGGTGTATAATTATGTTGAGAAAAATCTAAGAAAGGGAACTGCAACAATGTTACAGAAGATATTTTCTGTTCTCAAGGCCATTGAAGAGGTGTATGTAGATCACCCTCACTCCAGTAGAAGTCCGTATCCAAGATCCACATTTTGTGTGAAAACGTATGATCGAACTTATTATCTTACTGCACCTAGTCCAGAAGCCATGCGGATATGGGTGGATGTGATTTTCACAGGAGCGGAAGGATACAAGGAGTTTTTGATAAATATTGCCTCCTAGTGTTTCACAGGTTTGTTTTTTATGTCTTTAATGTTTTATTCCCATACTTGGGTGTTTGAATGGTGTATTCGTATGTGTGTATCATCAAAATTATATATACACGACACTCTTAGTGAATGAGTGACTGTACTTCTAGTTAGTTTATAATGATAATGTTGATCGGAGTGAATGAGTGACTGTACTTCTAGTTAGCTTATAATGATAATGTTGATCAGAGTGAATGAGTGACTGTACTTCTAGTTAGTTTATAATGATGATGTTGATCAGAGTGAATGAGTGACTGTACTTCTAGTTAGTTTATAATGATAATGTTGCTCAGAGTGAATGAGTGACTGTACTTCTAGACAACATTATCATTATAAACTATCTAGAAGTACAGTCACTCATTCACTCCAAGCAACATTATCATTATAAGCTAACTAGAAGTACAGTCACTCATTCACTCTGATCAATATTATCATTATAAACTATATAAACTATCTAGAAGTACAGTCACTCATTCACTCCAAGCAACATTATCATTATAAACTACCTAGAAGTACAGTCACTCTTTCACTCCGATCAACATTATCATTATAAACTATCTAGAAGTACAGTCACTCTTTCACTCCAAGCAACATTATCATTGTAAACTAACTAGAAGTACAGTCACTCTTTCACTCTGAGCAACATTATAGACTATCTAGAAGTACAGTCACTCATTCACTCCGATCAACATTATCATTATAAACTATCTAGAAGTACAGTCACTCTTTCACTCCAAGCAACATTATCATTATAAACTAACTAGAAGTACAGTCACTCTTTCACTCTGAGCAACATTATAAACTATCTAGAAGTACAGTCACTCATTCACTCCGATCAACATTATCATTATAAACTATCTAGAAGTACAGTCACTCTTTCACTCCAAGAACATTATCATTGTAAACTACCTAGAAGTACAGTCACTCATTCACTCCAAGCAACATTATCATTATAAACTACCTAGAAGTACAGTCACTCTTTCACTCCGAGCAACATTATCATATTATAAACTACCTAGAAGTACAGTCACTCATTCACTCCAAGCGATAATGTTGCTCAGAGTGAAAGAGTGACTGTACTTCTAGATAGTTTATAATGATAATGTTGCTCAGAGTGAAAGAGTGACTGTACTTCTAGAGTGACTGTACTTCTAGGTAGTTTATAATGTTGCTCAGAGTGAAAGAGTGACTGTACTTCTAGGTAGTTTATAATGATAATGTTACTTGGAGTGAATGAGTGACTGTACTTCTAGGTAGTTTATAATGATAATGTTACTTGGAGTGAAAGAGTGACTGTACTTCTAGATAGTTTATAATGATAATGTTACTTGGAGTGAATGAGTGACTGTACTTCTAGATAGTTTATAATGATAATGTTGCTTGGAAATGTACCCCAACATTCTTTAAGGTTAATAAGAGAAATAGCTTGGTTGAAGATTTGATATAGGGAGCAGCATAGAGAAATGTAATGGTATAGGGAGCAGCATATAGAAACTTAATGATACAGGGAGCAGCATATAGAAACATAATGGTATAGAGAGCAGTATATAGAAACGTAATGGTATAGAGAGCAGTATATAGAAACGTAATGGTATAGGGAGCAGTATATAGAAACTTAATGATACAGGGAGCAGTATATAGAAACTTAATGATACAGGGAGCAGCATATAGAAACATAATGGTATAGGGAGCAGCATATAGAAACATAATGGTATAGGGAGCAGTATATAGAAACGTAATGGAAACGTAGGGAGCAGTATATAGAAACGTAATGGAAACGTAGGGAGCAGTATATAGAAACGTAATGGTATAGGGAGCAGTATATAGAAACGTAATGGTATAGGGAGCAGTATATAGAAACATAATGGTATAGGGAACAGCATATAGAAACATAATGGTATAGGGAGCAGCATATAGAACTTCTTACAACTTCTTCAGGTACCGTCTAGAAATGTAGCTGTTGTAGTACAACTGGTAAGAAAACTGCTGGCAGGCTCAAACGAAAGATTTCAATTATCATCCCTGTAGGCTTATTGGTGAACATATGTACAGTTGTTTTAAAGTTTATTAAAGTTAATATTATATTCTTGTATACTGATGAGTGAACTGAAAAACTGTTAATGATTTGAATGTATGAAAGAAGCTAAGACTACTAGTCCGCCAGTGAGCTCTTTTTCTCTAGTTTTTAAAAGTAGTAATAAATTGGATATTATAATGATGATAATGTTATATAACATATCTCTTTCACTCCCTCAGTTTTGCATCATTTTTTTCTAATCTTAATGATATAGATATTAGGAAGCTTCAGTAATAAGGCTTTGTTATTTGGTAATGTTTTTATATAATCTTTGCCCCAAATCTTAAGATACACAAATATTTTTGTTGAATTAAATAAGCAGTCAATTTATTTATTAATTGGAAACAAAGTCAAAAACCTTATTGTTGATAAACAAGTAAAATAGCATAATACATCATTGTTAAAACTAAGTTAACCCTATACTGTTGTTACAAACTAAGTTAACCCTATACCATTGTTACAAACTAAATTAACCATAAACCATTGTTTAAACTAAGTTAACCCTATACATCATTGTTTAAACTAAGTTAACCCTATACAACATTGTTACAAGCTAACTTAACCTTATACATCATTGTTACAAGCTAACTTAACCTTATACATCATTGTTACAAGCTAACTTAACCCTATACCATTATTAACAACTGAAAGTTCTAGTTTTTTTTTAAAGAATCAGTAAAATAATGGAAAGGGTTAGTGTACATTGGGAAAGTTGAGTGATTTATTTTTCTCCCCACAGGTTTCTAGGAAGGTTTTTACTTTATAAGTAATAATGATCTGTACAGGAGGGTAACAACCATCTGCAATGAACAGACTGAAACTGCTTCTACCGAGTCATGTCAACTTTAATCGTATATTTCGTGCCATCTGTGTAACTGAGATTGTCTTGAAGTATAGAATAGAAAGTATATACACCTGAAACTGCTTTTACCGAGTCATGTCAACTTTGATCGTATATTTCGTGCCATCTGTGTAACTGAGATTGTCTTGAAGTATAGAATAGAAAGTATATACACGTAGAATGATAAGATCGAAAACAAAGTTTTTCCCAGAAATCAATCCATTACTGTATGTTTTCCTTATTGGTCTCATATAAGTACTTTTATAAAATTCTGTTTATGTAATTAGATTCAGGTTTGTTTTTTAATTGTATTATTTAGTGCCAAATTTAACTTAGCAGTAAGGAAACATTATTTATGAATATATATATATACACACACCTATCCTTTAAGGAATAAATCAGTTTAAGATGTGTGTTTTAATATACATTATATCTTTTAATAGTTGTATGTGAGCCTAATCTT